TTCCCCCCCTGGGGGTATCGATTCCCCTCTTGCATTCTGGAAATTCATTTCGTTGAAGGGGTATCGGTTCCCCTTAAATGGGTACCGATTCCCCTAACCCAGAAATCCTATTTTGAGCCTGGAAATCATCTAATTTCAACTCAAACATACTTATTTCAATCCCTTTAACACTCTTAGCTCTCATACACTTACTTAAACTAATTATTAACCATTCAATACCTCTAAAACTAAGAAAACTCCTCATCCATATAGAATTGAAGAATCTTACTCCAATTTCAACTTGTTCTAATTTCAATTCTATTACTTCATACTTCTTAATTAGCTTATTGACAAGTCAAAAATCTGATTCAAACATCAAAACTCATTCCTATCAAGATTTCATCTAAAAACTCATTTTCCAAATCCTTCTCTAAATCACTTATCTTGTTGTTTTAATGTCCTATAAGCTTTCCTTTAGCTTATATAACATCTAAGCTTCCATTTCCAATCTTAAAACATCAAAGAAACTACCAAGTTCAGTTTCTTACCTTTAATTGCAAGCCCAACGTTGAGAGAAGGAAGAGAAGAAAATAAGGAAGAAGGAAGAAGAAATGGGAGGTTCTGGAACCTAAAATAACACGTGGGTATCATATATACCCCATAACATCTTATTTTAATTAAAATTTCCTTCCAAATGACCATTTGGTCCCTACCTTCATTTCATATTTACTAACCTTTATTTTTAAACTATATAATCATTCTACTTTAATCCCCAAATGTTGAAACTTTGCAAATCAATCACTCACCCGACATGGAGGATGTTACACAAATATATTTCAAACTTTCAACCAAAAGACAAAACAAAGACAAATACTAACTTCACAGTGTTAAAGAATACACAGTTTAGCAGAATTGGCAGCAACCGAATAAGTTTACTTCAACCAAAAGACAAAACAAAAAGACAAATACTAACTTCACAATGTTAATAAACAGTTTAGCAGTATTGGCAGCAACCAAATAAATTTACTAAGCAATCTAAGTGAAATGGTTAATTTAAGTGAAATTACGAGTAAATTTATCATCAAGTTAAATATGGAAAATCTTAAACTTACCTCGTTGCGTAGAGTATGAACCTCATTCTACAACGATACTACCATCTCATGTAGAGCGGCAACCTCACCACGTAAAGTAGACACCTCCACACGCCATGCACCATCGTTATCGAGTAGAGTACCGATCTCCTCACGCAAGGCATTGACCTCATCACGTAACTCCCTTGACTCATCCCGTGGAGGTGGAGAACAGGGAGATAGAAGTCGTGGCATCTTTGCCGGTCGCCTATCATGAGGTGATGGTGGAGAAAAGGCTCGATGATGTGACGGGATAGGTGATGGCTCTCGTTGTAGAGGTGTATAGTCGGGTCGATCAGGTGATGGCTCTGGGTGAGGTGATGGCTCTCGAAGTGGAGGAAGTGGAGGCTGCTCATCATTCGTGCCATCAATAAAACGCTGACTAGCTTGCCACCAATCAGTGGCAAGCTCAGCCTCCGTGGGTGTCAGTCTAATTAATGGAATGTTGGCCTCCTAAAAATATAAAAACTCAAACAAAGTTAAACGTCTACTATTAATAACTTGTTTATATATGATAGTATTTGTGTTAACTTACATTATTTATTGTCGCATATGGTATTAAGTCTTCCCAATCCAACAGACGTTTCCTCTTCCAGGAAATAGCCCTGGGAATATCATTTGAAGTTTTTATTACATATGTCTTCATGGCGGGAAAGGCCTCGAATATCCAAATCTACAAACAATATAATAACAAACATTAGTAATTGTTAAATAATTAATTATAATTTTGAAAATATTATATATAAATTCTTACCTTAAAGGCCCAAACAAAGCCTGACAAAGTGTATTTCCCATCACCCCGTAAACTTTTGCGGTCATCAAAGGCAGACGACAACTTAGTCCAGGTAGCTTTCCATATATACGAACCCCACGGAAACAGATTCCATGCATTTAGGTCCTCTACCAATAATATTATCTCCTGAGGAATAGGTTGTCTGGCCTCTCTGCCTAAAAAGCCGGCATACAAAAGTAGTAGAAGGCATACTCGAACAACATCGACGTCATTCATCCGAGTAAAACCATCTTTCTTATTAAATAATTTCTTCATATCATCGACGTGTAAGTTCGGCTTCTCTATTGACTCATCAGGAAAAACCCTGGATAACCATGATGGGCGGGTGATATGACGAGTGTATCGGCCTACATCATCGTGTCCGAATCGTAGACCAGTGATTAAGCAGAACTCCTTCCGCCCAAAACAAGTATACGCCGGTGGAAAATGAAACCATATCTCTTCCTCACCACGTTGTATACTGTCGGGTAGATCTCTAGTCATGGTCTGAAGCCACAAATGGGTCAAATTAGCATCTCCACCCGGATGCTGTACTCTCAGCCATGGCCCGAAGCAGGTTTCCTCAAACAATTTTCTTTGTGCAGGTGAAAGCTTCAAAGCAATTGTAGTGGCTAGGCTAACTTTATTCCTTAATGTCAATGAAGCCGAAAAAAATTTCTACAAAAACAATAAACATACCAAGTTAGATATACCAAAAACTACACTGTCAAGATATACCAAAAACAATAAACATAAATAGTAGTTTATTCTTGAAACTAAAATTTGCAATACTGTTTTGTCTTTTGGTTGAAATGAAAATCGCAACGAGATAATGAGAATCGCAATGCGGAAATGACTATCGCAACGAGAGAATCGCAACGCGAAATGAAAATCGCAATGCGATTTTGGGTTTTTTTTGTAGCCCATTAAGATGCCCATATTTTTATTTTGGAAAATACGGAAAATATTATAGTGAATCTGGAACTCGTCACCTCGAGATAACGAGTTTCGTACACTGTAAAAAAAATATTGTAGATTCCAAAATAAAAATGTATGACCTATTTTGTAAATTTTTTCTGAGTTGCCCTATTAGACCAAAAAAATCATATCCACGATGCTATGGGGGGTTTTCTCCTTTAAACTTTTTTTAAAGAAAAAGGAAAGACAGATGATCAAGAAGAGAAATCGATAATGGAATTGTATTTCATAACGAGAAAGGTTAAAATCAATGGCATAAATAAATGGCTTAAATGCCACATTTGTCTTTGTAGTAGATTAAATTTAGCATTTTTAACTCTATCATATTTTAGCATCAATTTAGTTCTCAAAGTTATTTAATTGTATGATTCTATACTCTTTCCTTAACTTAAAACCCTATATTATAAATCCTAAGTTAATATTTAGAGATAATAGGGTTATGATTCAGGGTTTAAGCTTTGTAATTTAGGATTTTAATTTAGGGTTTTAAGTTAGGATAGTATTATAGAATGATGCATTTAAGTAACTTCGAGAACTAAATTGATGTCAAAATACGATAAGACGAAAATGATAAATCAAGTCTATTATATGAATAAAAATTATCATTTTGTCTAAATAAATTATATTCTATGTTAATATTAAATGTCTAAAGTATTTTTCTCTCAAAGTAATAATCACTTCTTTGCATCGAAGGACGAGCATCTAACAAATCGGCATCAACACCCATTGGAGGTGACATCAACAACAGCGAAGGCGAAAATGATGGGTGAGTAGTGACTGTTCAGCAGTGCAGCAGCAGCGGTGATGATCGGCGATAGCTAGGTAATCCGGGTTCTAAATTAAATATTTTAGGATTTTGGGCTTTCTACATTTCAGAACCTTTTTTGTTATTAAGACCATACTTTGTTGACAAGTATGTCACATTAGATTAGCCTTCAGAATTAATCCTAATATAAAAGTTTTTTTTGTACTCCAGTTTCAAGATTTCGTGTTGATTAATCTGGATCGAATCGACTCAGGTCATACATATGATTTTGGTGGGTGAGTCTCCTAGCGGGGATTTTCTGCATACACAAGGACTCGAACTTGAAACATTGTTTAAATGATATCAAACTGCTTATCACTTGAACCAACTCCATCCTAATACAGAAGTTCGTTAAGCATCAAGATGCCTTTTGTTATCTTACATGTTAGGACTATATTCCTTTTACTTTTGTGCCTATGAAATATTAATGACAATGATCATAAGTTATGTCAAAATTATGAGTCAGCTTGATAATGAAGGTTCATGCTTTTTCTCTTATTGGATGCAAAAAATTGTTATTCAGAACAGGAGAGAAAAGAATAAAGTCTAAAGGCATTACATGGTTATGAAAGTGAGACTTTCAAGAGAGGATACATACATTTGATCAAATCTCAATGATTTTCTAGATCAATAATTCATGTCCATTAATTGTCTTACATTGAAAGAGTTTGGATTCCCAGTTATAATCACGCTTACGAGATCGCATCAATAAGTTAAAAGTTCGAATTTTAACATAAATAGTTACCAACTCGAAATGAAAATGGTTAAAAATTCGAATTTTAACATAAACTATAAATATATTAACCAACTCAAAATGAAAATGTGAGCAGTAGAGGTCAAAGTATGGGACCACAACACTATCAATGTCCTGTTTGAATCAAATAAGCCACAAAGTAAAACTCTTGTACATTGTCCACTTGTGTTTCCATGTCTTTACTTATTGACTCCCAATGTATCATTGGCATTGAGGAAAAAGGGCAGAGAAATGACAATTTTTTTTCCTTTTTCCCTTACACATTTTACCTATACATGAACATGACTTTGTCCCCCAAGATCAGTTTGGTACTGGGGAAAATTATTGTGCTGTCACGGATTTAAATTGTGGTTGTGATCGTGTATTCGTTGCGTCGTGATTGCAGCGATAGTGGACATTATTGGAGTCACGGTGGGTATTGCGTCTATCAGAATAACAGCGGACCGTTGTATAAATTCCTGGTGCTGATCTTGTTAAGTTACAGATATTGATATGCATGGTTTGTTCACGGGGGAAGCTGCATTATATTATTTCAATTAACAGTTGAAAGTCTATTTTGTAAATAGCTAGAATAATGAAAGATTATTTTATGGATATGTAAATACTTTTTCTTTAAAATCTAGTATGACAGAACAGCAACCACAATGGAGATGAAACAATTAATGCAATAATGGAGCTTCCAAAGTTTTTTTTTTTTTTTTGCTTTGCTCCCACAACTTCATATCATATCCTCTTTTTATCAAAGTTTAGAAAAGCCATAATTTTTAAAAGGGATGAATTTGGCTTTCAAAGGTTGAAGAGAATATGCATGGATCTCATCCTTCATGATTCTCTTCAATAGTTGCTCTAGGATTAAGACTTTTCTTCCCTGCAAAGTCATTCAATATCATAACCATCCATTGATTGAAAATGGATGACAAATGGCCTGAACTCCGACACCCAAAAAATCTCTTGTTTCTCCCCCGCCGCCGCCCTCTTCGTTCTGTAAACGTCGGCGTTTCGCGGGGTACATTTGCAGTTGATTCAAAGTGGAAATATCATTTGCTGTTGTCGCTGTTGGTGTGTTTGAAACATAAAGATCACTGTACTTGTTCCCATCTTGACTGTTGCTACACTTGGTCCGGAAGCTTCCTAGGAACGATGTGTCGGTCGATGTTGCGCCGATTTGGGCAGCTTTCTGCAACAAAGCTGTGGCAGACATGCTGAAGGATGGTGTCTGATGAGACTGGTGTTGTGTGCTAAACAATGAAGGGACACTCACAAGTTGAGGTCCATTTTCCTTCACATTACTCAAAGAAAGTGAAACGCTTGTTGTCACCTGGTGGTCATCAGCAGCAGCATTACCTGAAGAGACCTTATTCCCAAAGACCCGGTTTATCTGATAATCCAATGCAGGAGTGTTCGATGTCGAAACCAGAGGCTCAACGTATATCGATCCCGGATTCAAAGAACCGAATTGCTGAATCTCTTGGCCCTGAGATGCTTGTCCCGTCCGCAAGGAAAATCCATGTCTAGTTTGGTCTATTGCATCATCATTGCTTGAAGAAATTGGTCCGAAAACAGTGGAGAAATCTAATGGATTCTCCATAAGTTGGTAATTGAAATTGCCGGCGGCAGCCAAGCTGTGCATGCCGGAAGCTGCATTAACTCTAGCTGTTTCCTCGGCCAAAGCATCACAGAAAGCCCTATGCGTGATGAAACTATCTCTTCTGCATCAAATAGTTGTAGTTCTTCAGTTCGCCTTACACAATGAATCAACATCACTTTGATATGGTGGATATATTTACCTTGAGAATAGAGTACCACAGTCGCATTTGTACTCCCTGGTGCCGCAGGTTTTCGAGTGTGCTTTCCAATCAGACTGCACAGCGTATCGCTTCGAGCACTTCTCGCACTTCCACTTCTTCTCCCCATGCTTCCGATAAAAGTGTTTCTTTATTCCTGTTAAATCACCGAGAGCCCTCAAAGGATGGTGATGGACGCAGGTCTTTTCGGGGCACACATACACGCGCTTCCTCACCTCCTTCGTACTTCTTTGCTTCAGCTTCCATGGAAGGTTATGGCCTCGCCGATGGAGTTGAAGATTTTGGTCTCTTTGGAAACCCTTGCCGCATACTTCGCACAGGAATCTGTTGGTTGCCATCAGAGTCTTTGGGGACAAAGCTATCACTTCAGCTTCAGGATCTGGTATTAAGCATAACATAAATTGACCATGAAGATGATCCTCAAAAGGGAAAAAAAACTATCAGATAAAGTCTTATAGAAGAGTACTTGCCTGGTGTTCCTGGAAGGTTTCTTTTCTTCTTCGGAACAGCTGGAGGATTGGATCCAGATACAGGATTCATCATAAAACCATTCGAGATCGATTCTTCTGCCATAGTTTCTAACATCTTTGTTGTTAAAGCTTAATACGAAACCAAAAAAAAAAATCCAGAAAAACTAAGAGCTCTTCTATTGGTTTTCTCAACCCTAATAGTATAAGCTGATATATGCAAAGGAATGGATCTCTCTTCTCTCTCCCTCAGATACACAGTACTGATTTAATTATAAGTACTTGCTTTTGAGTGGAATATAATACTAATATATATATATATATTTTAATGAGAGGCGGTGAAAAGTTAAAGTTGGGAGGGAAGGGAAGAGGTTGAAGAAATAGAGAGAGGGTGCTCAAGAACCCCAAAGGTGCATCATGACACATATGATGAGGTCCTAAGAAAGCTAATCTCCATGCCTTTTCCATTTGGAATCATTATCTCATAATTTGTTTACTTTTCGTTTTTTATTAGTATCATTTTTCTAATCTCTGCTGCATTCCAATCTGCAATTCTTTTGACTCCATTTCCATATATGTAATAAAACGTACTACTCCACGTATACCAGTTCCAATTATTTCCAAGAAAAAAAAACAACCTTGAAATTTACGAGGAGTATTACACTAGTCGACCGACTATCGACAACATACTATCAAATTTTTAGGTTGTATTATATTGATGTCGTGTTTACTATTGAGTGACTGATCGTGACATACTTAATCATATAACTTTGATTTTTAAAGAAATATGATCAAGAAATCATGAGGATTGCCATAAATATTAGATGACATGGTAGAAGCCCTAGGGCAATTTAACTAGTGCTTTGGGTTGCTTTCTCATGAATTAGTTGAAAGTTTCCCTTTAAAGTTAATCATAAAAGCATAGTGAAAAGTTTATTTGTTTATTTATAAGTTCCAAAACAAAAGTTAGCTGGCTTGGTGTATGCATGGTCCACTTGTAATCAGCGTCGAACAGGGGAGAATTAGTAGGGTGATTGTACTTTAAAATTTTTAAATTATCATATAATTTTTATAAAAGAAATAATATAAATCATAGGGGGAAACGAATATTTGTGATGTTTCCGTCAGAAAGATGAATTCAAACAAATAATGAAAGAAGTGTCCCTAAATGAATGAGTTTGACATGCAAGAGAGATGCCAAACTTGTCAAACACTTCTTTTGTTCCTCATTTTCCACGAAACTAAAAACAAAAAATCTTTCCAGTGTTCTGATTTAACTAAAATTGGGTTAGTTTTAGGGTTACTCCAATTATTGATCACTGGCTTATATTATGAATAGGAGTTCCTTTTTTTTTGGTATAATTAGAATGTTAGTTTTAGGGTTTGTATCTTTGCTTTTTCATTTGATGGATTTTTAGGTCAAAATTTAGGTCTTTTTTGGACTTTGAACGTATATTGCATGCACTTCATTTAGTATTATGAAAGTATTTTGTTGTATACCCTACAAAAATCCAACCTACCTTTCCTATTTCTCGTCCAATCATGTAGTATCGGCATTATTTTTTGGATTTTGGCTTTATTAGCATTGTTCTAGCAAAATATATACTACATTTTATGATACGATCCAAATGCTCATCTTACTATATTTTCAAATATAGTAAGCCAATTCATATATGATCAAAATTACACTATGATCATTAAAAAACGGTTAACAATATCACTCGATTAGAACGTAACATGTGATGATAATGACATTCATGGCACATACAAGCAAATATCGATATTTAAAGGGGAGTATGTGGGGTGCTAATGGTAAAATGGGAGTGTTGTTTTCTCTAAAAGTCTCATGTTTGAACAACAACGTGTGCATTGTCAATGATTAGGAAAGATTCTGAACAAATAATACTTTTGTAAACGTCCCAAGCTATTAGAAAAAGATTAGGTATCGATGTAGAAGAGAGTTATAGTTGGAGGACCAAATTGAGTGTAAACCCTAAGTAAAACATGTATGAGAAGGTGAAGGGTGAAAGACAGGTCAGTAATATTTGGGGGTGTGGGCATGCAGTGGACAAGTTGTGAAGGCAGTCTTTTTGTTTAATAATTATGTAATCATGTTATGGAAATGCATCCTGTCTTTATTTAGTATAAAAGTTTTGGAGTCTAGCTGTTGAACTGTGGCGGCACCAGAATATTCTCTCCTTCCCCAACACCCCCAAAGCTTAAAAAAGGCTTCGACTTTCAAGATTTGATCCCGTCTTCATGTTTATTAGATTCCCTGTCTGATCTCTCGGTTTGTGTTTTCCAATGTTTTTAAAGAAAAAATATGACACATTTAGGCTAATTAATTAATTGATTAATACATCAAACCATGTAAATGGATGGAAGAGTTTTGGGGAAGAGCAAATTTGTAACACCCCAAACCGATGCGGGTAGCCCGATCCGATTCAGGAAGTCACATTAGGGTCACCGGAGCGACCCACCGTAAAAATAACTGAAATTTTAAAACTTTTTATCAGAACATGTAAACTTATAAAATCATTTATCACTATTTAAAAATAAAACAGATTTCCAAACTCGTATATAAATCAAAATACAATTACATGCCCCCTAATCACAAATACCATACTCTGCAACCACGCCGGAAGAACTCCCTTACTGAAGTCGATAGATGCACTGGTACAATTGTTTTAACCTGAAAAGGTGAGTAATAGAGTGAGCTTTGGAAAGCTCAGTAATACAGAACTACCAGATGATGCTACATGACATGTAGATAAATAGAAAGCCATATAATTTCCTTATTGAATCATATGTATACCAGCTTGTAGAATAATTTGGGGTTCCCTTAGAAGTTCATCGAGTAGAAGCCATGAATCTCAGTTCATAAGAAACCTTTCAAAGTATGACATTTTCAGGAGATCGAATAGGATGTCTAGTGTGTTCCAACAGTATAATAAAATCATAATAGGTACAAATCATAGTCCAGTAAATATCACAATTTCGTAAAAGAGTTTAACTTTTGAAAATCATAGTTTAAACCCTTTTCTGGTACACCATCAGTAGTTGCCAAAATTATTTTCCATATAGCTTACTTTATGCACATAGCAAAAAGAAAGCCAACTTAAGGATAGGCTCTGAAGCTTGTATCCTTAAGCCCAAGTCAATAAGTCCATATAGCTTACCCTAAGCACACAGCAAAGGAAAGCCGACCTAATGAAACATCTTGGGGCCCTCAAGAGTCACATTAGGCCCAGTTAGCTTGATCAGAGCTATTCCATCGTAATTCAATTCCAAAATTCAATTGCACCGTGACATAAATTCCATAAATCCAAAAACATGGTAATCATATACCATTTCAAAACAAAAATTAGATAGCAGCCATATTCCATAAATTGTCACATTAAATTGGTGCATCCATAAAACAATAACCAATGAATTCGGTGTACCACGTATTAAAACCAATAAAATAGTTCAATAATAAGTAGGGAACACACTAGAGAATCCCAGTATTTCCAGAGGCCATTGTAGTTATCATTTTGGATAACATGAAACTTATGAAATTTGATCGAATTCCTGGAACAAGGTCCTATTGAGGAGAATCGATTACTAACCGATCTAGCCAGACATTTAATGTTGATACATTAGAATCCCACTATATTTTCGTGTGCTTTAGGAAAACGTTCAGGAACCTTTATACATAATAATTCTAAATTCAGATTTACTGCGAGTGATTCCATTACCCAAACAATCAGGGGTATTCAGGAATATACTTTAAATTCATAGGATTTCAGCCCAATTGAACCAAATGAGATATTCAGAATCTTTCCATCTGCGTTACTTGTTTTTTTTTTTTTTTCAAACATGACCGAAGTGATTTTAGATGAAATATAGAATCGAAGATTCAAGTCATTTACAATCTACGACTATCGATCATATTATCAAACAACTCGAGTTACACAAGTCTCAAACTGATGCATGTCAACAAGTCAATTCATTATCCTTCCAGTGTATTCACTCTTTAATACCATAGTGCAGATCCATAGATCATCCCCATAATCATCACTGAATAAATCTTCCAACGGTCTTTATTTCATTTCCACGTTTCAACAATATCAGGAAATACTGACGTACTTGATCCATGGCTCATAACCCATAATGACAATTCATCATGTAAGTTCAACAGTGTTTCCAAACTCATCAAATCACCTATTTAATCCTTACTCATTGATGTTACTTAGTTCGTTTGGTAAGCAAGTCTATCTCGATTACTTTAAAGTTTTCCAGAATAATTCATACGTTTCTGAATTTCAAATACACGTTGTACTACATTTCATTTCAATTTATTCATATAATAAAGTCATTCTGGTATTCGTGGTTGATTTGACTAACGACTACTCACTTATTAGTACTGTATGCGCTCTAGAGTTGAGCTGCGCCAAGTACTTCCAGAATTATCATCGATCCAAATTTGAGCTGATGAACAAACATTCAAGTGATACTTATATCATTCAGGTAATGATATAGTACTAACGTTGGTTAATCACTTAAGTTGCGTTTCACAACTTTTACTGGTAGCACAACATCCATGTTTATTTGGATTTCTTAATTAATCCAAGACATTTACTTATTCTAGGTCATAAGGGCATTTTGGTCATTTTGGTGCTTAACATTTTTTTTCTATTCATTTCAAAGCTTGAGTATATCCATTCATTCCTGAGCTTGGTGACATTCTTGAGTTATTTCCATTCCAGGGGTAATTTGGTCATTTTATAATTCTAGAATATTTCAATCATTTCCTTCCATCCGGTCTTATTATTTAATTCAATCTTATCATTTACTTCAGTCCTTTCGAACAATTCTGTCAGCAGAATACCTCCAATAAATTACTCTTCAAGTATTTACCCCTTATTCGAATATTTTCGGGTCAAGTGTCTTCTCAGATTTTACAAACGGAATATTATAAATTTTTCTGTACAAAGACAGGATCTTAACAATTAAATTCGTACTTAATCGAGTTAAGTACAAATCCTCAAAGTACTCTCTCATTCAGGGTCAATTCAGACTATTTTATCTCTCAAGGGCATTTTCGTAATTTCTTAACCAAATAATTTCAATATTAGCACTTAACGAAAATAATTATAATTTAGAGATCCTATGATCAATTGCTTTCCCGAACATTCTTTGATTTTGAAATGATTCCTTCACAAACTCTCATAGGATTAAAACCGGTTATCCATAATTTCCAAATAAAACTAACATTTCTTATGCACATCAGTAGTTATATCGGATCAATATGTCTTTTCAGAGTTATTAACCAACTTCCAGGGGCAATTCTTATCATTTTCCAACATAAG